TTACAGCTCTGTCGCTGTTGGTTATTGAAGGGATTTTCGATACCTTAAGAATATCATCGAGACCATACGGAGCATCACCAACAAAATCCAAACCATATACATTGATAAGAGTCATCGCATTATAATCCAAGACATGTGATCATTTTAATGTATGGGAAACTATAGTAAGCGAGCGGCAGTGAGAATCCAACTTTAAAGTTCCCTTATTTCAGTTATTACCGAATAGATCTAAATGTCGGGCGATTCATTATGCTTCGAAATTAATAAGTGTAATATATAATTATGTTGACTTGCCATGTATTAAATCAAAGAATGTTAAGATTTTGTGGAAATGTATGTCAGTGTTAATCTTTAATTATTTTGCTACTGGTTTTACGTACATGCGCTATATATATATTGAAAAAGCTGGACCAAATTAAATATAAAAGTATTTTTTAAATATCATTTCATGTATTATTGGTCATACATTAGTGCGATTAACACATTTAGTATTAGATATATTACATAAGGGTTCTAAATTATATAAGCAACATAAAAAGAAAAAATTTTTTTTAATCTGAAAGCTTTCAGATTTTATATTACGCCCAAAGGGGCGTTTTCTTCATGTTTTGTATGTTACCTTTATTTATTAAATATCATGTTCTTTGTATCTAAACCATAAAATTCAATTCAACCGCAATATCACAAAATACTTAAAAGAGCATCTCTTTAGAATTTCCGATACACAGTCTCGAGCGATGGAGATAAAAATGTGTTTTTTTTTTTTTTTTTTTACTTTCGTGCAGTGTTGCCATTGCTTGCTTTGAAATCCTTGAGTTTCTTAATAAAAAAACTCGTAAATTCTTTACACAATATGAAATAGATAATTAAGCAAATTCGGGGTTCCAGATGGCCATATTCGGGTGGGGAGTAACGTTATTCAAAATTTAATGGCTCTAAGTACCTTTAGTGTTATTACAATGCAAGAAAGACATGCATTTATGCAGATTCTTCATTATTTAATTTCTTTAAATATAATACAAAGCTCTATTATTTGGTGGCCTCCCAACAATTTAAAAAGTGATTCGCCGTTTATAGTGAATCAATGCAAAATGCCAAAACGAAATTTATAGTCCAACTACCAGTGAACAGCGGTCTTTACCACTCGGCCATTGCTAAGCTTCATGAGGAACAGAAATTCATCGCAATACTGTCTGAGCTTTGTTTGTAAGATTAATTGACCGTTTCTTTTGTTTGTAAGATGAATTCTCAGCAACACATATCATTATAGATGGTGCAAAACAGGATAGATGTTTTATGTATTCCTAGATAACAGATATAAAATGTCTTGAGATAAATGAGATGTATATATTTCATTGTATTATAAAGACGAAATACACTAATAGTTGCATATATTGAAGTAATGAATGATATTCAGTTTTTTAATGCAAATATTTTTGTATTACGAGGTTCTTCTGTATGTTTTCCAAGCTATCGTAAGTTTCCCAAAACATCTAGATGTAATACTGGAAAAAGTCTGAGCCTTAAATGAAACCAATCTACGCAGCTCAAATCCACGCCTTACAAGCGTCTGCTGCATTTTAACACTAAAATATGAATTATTTTCTACTGAAACTCCCCCCCCCCTCTGCATGCCTTTTCAGAATCTATTAAGACACATCACTATCCAAAAAATAGACAAAATCGTCTACAAATCGAAAACCTAAAATGTGAATCACAATTTTACCCCATAAGTCATTTCTGAGTCATCGTATAACGTTTCGTTATGTTGTATAAAAATATAAATCACTCTTTACCAGCCAAAATGAAGCGAATTTTCATTCCGATTTAGACCGACTGATGTTTAGAACACTTGGCACTGGTTCAACTTACGCGCAGACAAAAACATGGAATACCTGACGTAACTTCCCGTCGAGTTGAATCAACCGCTCGGCACTGTCAAAACAAAGCTGTTCCAGCGCAGACTTTACAATCAGAAGCACGTGCTTTTGAAATGTATACAATGAAACCTATCAGTAACATACAAGCTTATAAAAAATAATCCAACATTTTTCAGTTCAGTTTCATTCCTAATATAGTAACTAAATTATTTTTTCTGTAATCACTTTGCTCGCCTAATAATGTTGTATTGGTTTACGGTGCAAGGTTTTTCCATGCGTAATATGAACACAAACATCCCTTATGACACTGATAACCTGGAATGCCTTGCAATAACATAACTTTGCTAATGATTTATCGATGAATCTTTTTCATGAACACAGTGAAAATATGATGTCTTAGTATTTTTCAATCCGTACGGTAGACGCCTCGAATAATAATTAACGGCATTGACTACTAACAGTTTTTGTTTTCTCATGGATTAAGTTGATCGCTTAAAGTACAGAAAAGTCTGCTTACGGAAAGAGATGCCTTCGTGGAGAACTTTCTAATTCGAACTGGCTCGTATTCATGTTACCAAACCATTAAAACAATTAATCCATTTGTAGGAATTTGAACTCTGGTCGAATTACCAGTATTCAGTATTATCCAATTAGCTGCTGGTAACCGTCTGCTTATGACAAGGAGTTCAAATGGATTTCTTTGGGGGGGGGGTTGGATTTATGAAGCCAGTATCAGTTGTTTCAGATTCAAAGGCTAAAAACGAAAAAAATAAGAATTTCATTTATCTGAATTATGCAAAGGCATTCGATGGCTATCTACCTTTGGAAAGGTATATCTTCGTGGAGGATTCTAAGGGAAACTGCCTCATACTCAAATTTATGCAAGAAGAAAACCACAAAAATCCTGCTAGCAGCCCATTCACCGTGATTCGGACCTGGTTCAAACTACCAGTGTTCAGCGATTCAACCATTCGGCCGTTGGTGGCCCTTATAGCAATAAGGATTTTAATGAAATGGCAGATAATAATGCACAGTATATTTTTTTAAATCGCTACTGGTAACGAATATTCATGTTTTATACATAACCCCAAAACCAAATGGACGACTATGAACCAAATGGACAGGAAAAAATTCGCCGTCACAGCTTCAAATAAAAACCATATTGGCGACTTTTTCCTTGGAGGAGGAATTCATAAGAATTACTTTATATATATGGTAAAGTACGACCCCGCTTTTCATGAAGGACTTTATAAAGGAAGTGGGTTCATTTACAGGGAATAACTCATTTACAGAGAATTTTTAATTTTTAATTTTTAAACCTTTTCTTCATCCTATTAAAAAGACGGTTATCCAAAAAGTAATAAAATCTATGTTCTGTAGAAGCAACAGAAATGATCTTTGAAAAGTTATTTTCGCGCTTTCAGCCAGAGTTAAGTTATTAAATAATGTTTTTTTTTTTTTTTTTTTTTTTTTACTAATAATCCATTTACTCGTTAGATTAGCATCTTATGGCTACTTTCTACTCCCTAAAATAAAATCTTACCCTAAAGGACAATTTGGACAGCTTCAAGAAAAATATAACAATGAAACAGCAATTCATGAGGTAACTTCTGCGAAGGCATCTGGAAGTTCCAAGAACCAAAGGGATATATAGTAAACGAAATTATGGTAAAAAGTTAAATGATGATAGATGTGTTTTCTTCTAGCATAGATTCTTTACGAATGAAGTTCTAAAAGCTTTCCAGATAGTAAATTCACGAATAGTTCCTGTTCCTATATCGATTTGATTCATGGAATACAAGTATTACATATACTTTCAAGGACAAAGGTATTTTGCCCTTTTCTGCAACAGCAAGCTCTTTAAATGCTTAAGCATCGAAAAAATGATTATTTACCACAGGATGATAAGTGGTGTTTTCCGAAGATAAAATTTATAATTTCAGTAAAGACGTTGTTCGATAATCACTTGTATTCAAATGCTAATTTTATACTATTTTTTTCGATATTTTAAATAATTTGTGCAATTCAAGAAATTAAAAGTTTAAATTCAATAAATTCACAGACAATCGGTAATAGAAAAATCTTAATATTTCGAACTTACGTCATATACAAGTAAACGGCGTGGGAACCGGTTGCCATAGTAACAATAAGATATCCACTCAATTTTTTAGCTTAAAGAAAGTTAATTATGACTACGAAATTTATCTAAAATTTTTACTTGAGTATTGTGTAGTTTTTTTTGTGTAGAAAGATTTCTTCATGTAGAGCCTTTTAAGGCATACTATCTCGCATTTAATGTTAACGCAAAAAACAAACGGCACTCAAACTCTCTCTACAGCTATTCGGAATCGAATCCATGTCGAAGTAAAAGTACTTCCCAATTTAAACCATGGAGGTAAGAAGTATATCTCTACCCTTCATGGTTTTAAACCTATGGCCACTCGCAGGAATCTGAGTAAATGGAAATTTTCATCTTTAAATAAAGAAAAGCAAAGTCTGAATGGGAAAAACGCATTTTAATAGCATTCCATTAAAACTTCGCCAAATAGCAGTTTGTCTGAAGTTGCACCAGCCATTTAAGATAACTACAAATAAAATAAATATATTAAATAAATACATTAAAAATACGGTACTATGTACTTTATTATTATAATGTTAGACTTTTCGCAATAGGTGACTTAATTTTTGTTAAGATGTCAGTAATCAAAAGTCATCGTAATGTTCGTTAAAACCTTTGTAATTAAAAGAAGAAACTTTACTATTCCTAACTGCATAAACATTATTTCAATAGGATGTATACATAACCATTAAGATAGAACAATTGGTCATGTAAAAAAAAAAAAAAATACCGAATAAATTAAAAAAAAGAAAACTAATTTAGTCAACAAAACAAACGATAAAAAATTTTATATAATATTTAAGTCTGTAACTAAATTTTGTAAATATTTTATCTGATTTAGTTAATTTTTAAAACGCTACATCTGAAAATATGAAAATAATACCAATATAGAACTTTACTAAATTTACATACATTAAACTTCAGAAATGATATCATTTTTAAAGAAAATTTGTTCAGAAAACTAAAATATCATTCATTCGGTTTAAAAAAAACTTACCTTAAATTGCTTAGGATTGTTAATGAGGTACATTCCAGTCATCGTGGATTTATTCCGTTTAGTTGAATCTCTACGGTCGCAATACATCTTCTGGTTACTTAAACCCATCCTGGAACTAAAACTGCCTCCGCTCACCGCAGCGCTTTCTTTCCAAATCACGGAGTTTCCTTGTATCAGCCATTTGCTCACTAGACGGCCTTGAGCGCAAAGGATTTTGGGAAGATGACGTGCTATGAGAGGAAGCGTGTTCACCTGCGATCCTCGGAGTCGCTGGAATATGGGCATTGTCTAGCTTTAATTTCCAAATAAATAATTAGGAAGTGAAAAAAATTATGCTTGCTATTAACGAATTAATTAAGAGATTCTAATAAACATGAAATGGAGTTCTTATAAAGATTTCGATCAAAAGCTTCTCCGTTTCGGGTTCCATACTATGAGTACTGCTTGCTGTACTCATCCATAGCAGCCATTCTATCTAGTATCGGAAGAATATTCTAAGCAAAGGACGTTTCAGACAAATCAATAAAGCCAGCTAGCACGGACAACCACCCTCTCTTCGTAAACTAGCGCCGCCATGTGGTGTAAAAATAGTCCGGGAGAAGATTTTTGGACAGACTCCAGTCCTGGCTGGAAGATCTGAAAAAGAGATCTACTGGCTTCAAAACCAATCGCTTTCCAAACTGAAAGAAAAAAAATATATAATTTCACTTACACACAAAGAAAAAAAAAAAAAAAAAACGTATACAATTGGCAGATTTACAATTTCTCTCCAAAGAGAAAAACTTTTGTTAATTATTTTGTTACTATCCATCGTTTATTGTGAATACATTTAGTTCTATGTAGATATGCTTTAGCCATTTAAAATTTTGCTATAGTTTTCTTCTTAACGTCCTCACAGCAGTGATGTATTAGATGTGTTTTTGATAGAATATGTAGAACATCCATCACTGAAACACATAAATTAACTGAAAAACTAAGCATATGCTAACTGAAAAAGAATAACAATTGTTAAGATGCGTTGCTCTTGCTGTATCAAATTATAAGATGAAATTTTCAAAAACAGCAAAATAAAATAATTGGTAAGATAAATTTTCAAAAGAAAGTTTTAAGATAAATTTGCAAAGCAAAATAACAGTCTTCTATAGTTATAAATATAGGTCATAGCCTATAGTTATAAATATAGGTTATGGCCTATAGTTATAAATACAGGTTATAATGAAATATTTTAAGTCGGCTGTCACAAATCAAAAATTGTCAAGAAAGCTTAACGTAAATGTTATGATAACTATCAATTATTAGATATTTTATGACTTAGAAAACACAAATCTGAGAAGTTACAATTTTCTCCTTTATTCAAAAATATAAATAAATAAATAATAATCTTAAAACACATAGCAGTCATGCATAAATGAGAGCAGCTTATTAAGCATACCCTTAGGAAATAATACTAGTAGAAAGGAAATACCATTAAATAGTAGTACTAAATTTATTGCAAATGACACGCAGTCAAATCGACTACAAAAGAAAGAAAACTGAAAAATATTAATAATTTTTCAGATTTAAATTTAAAATTAAGAATTCAGTTATCTTTATTTTATTTTTATTTTTATTTTTTAAATTAGTACTATTAGCTCATACGTTCCCTATATCTTATTCAAATTTTCAATCGTTAAATACTTTTTATTCATCCACTCAAGTTCAAATACAGTTTTTAAACTGGTAGATGACACTTGATATTAATACAGTTTTTTCACATATTAAATTTTTTTTAACTTTTAATTAAATTTTTTTTGCGTTAAAAAAATTCTTTTTTTTTTTTTTTTTGACCTAAGTAGGAATTTACTTTAATTTTTTTATATTACTTGTTATTATACATTTTCCCCTACCCCATCAAAATAGGTAACATTTAAATGAAATTACGCTCATTGTCTTTTAGAACTTATAACAGCATGAACAAATTAATACTTACTTATCGTTACATTAATAATGGGTTTTAACATTCACAATTTGAGCAGAAATTTTTTAACACAAAATTCAAGGATCTGAGATTTTTCTGTTTCTAATGCAAAGAGCAATATAATTTTTGAAAATTTACTATGGTAAAGTACTCAAAAGCATTCGCGTTGGTATAGAATTACTTAAACAGAATCTATTTCTGTACATTTGTGATAATTATTCTACATACTAGGGAAAAAAGTGTACAAATTTTTATGTATTAAACATGTGCCTTGAAATACAGAATGCTATTCAGACTAATTGAATATTTCGAAAATATATATATATATAAGGCACATAAGATTTAAGACAGTTTGGCAGCTGGTTGTTTCAGAAGCAGATTTTTCATGCGTTGTAAAAAATTACTGTAGAACTATAAAAATCAAACAATTCCAGATAAAGGATTCCTTGAATTTGCATAAAAAATTGATGGTTCGCAGGCGAAAAATTATCATGTTAAGTCATTTAAAAATAACTCTTGCAACCACATTAAAAACTTGATAATGCAACAATAAAAAAATTCAGCTATAAAATTATGTTCGAAATTATACTTTTTAGCTAATTTATTGAAAGAAATTAATTAATTATATATTTTTATAACAATTGCCCAATTACTTAAATCTATTGCTGTAAATTTATTAAGTTCAAATTCTTATTGTTGAAGTTGCTTCTTGCTTCTTATACAAAAGAATTTACAAAATATTCTCTAAACAAAGACTCTGGTTTACGCGGTTTCACAAATGTATGATAATGGGGCACTTCAGATGGAAAGTATGCGTTTTTTCAAAACATACAGGTGTTCTGTTCCAAAATTAAATGCTAAAGCATAAATTTTATGCCTCATATTCATTTTTTTATAGTTTTCTTCATCAACGTCCTCACAACAATGATATATTCGAATTTTTTTGATGGGATCTACAACTGAATCGCATAAACTAATCATACACTAACGAAAAGAAATAAAAATGTTTAATATTCGTTGCACTTGCACTGCATCCAATTACTAAATAAAATCTTTCGTACAATACAGAAACAGATAGATAATGATTAAAGATTTCTCAAAGCAAGTACACTAATGAGCTTGATAAAGCACGTAACAGATTCCTGCCATGATACGCGTAGTGTGTTGAAAGAATATGCTAATTTCCAGTATTGGATATCACTGCAAGTACGGTCATGTTTTTATAATATTGGATTGATAATATGTAACGTCCAGTCTCGCTCGAGAAAAAAAAATCAATACACAAAGCATATAAAACTTTGATCAACGTATGGTTCTTGTAAAGATTGTAACATTTGTATAATGAAGCGAATGACTTAATGTCCCATTTAAAATAAGAAAATTTTCCAAGTATTGTCGATTCTTTTGATTGTATTGTCCATTCCAAGTTTTTATTGTCGATTTGCTTTTGATGGCCTAATTACTGCAATAATACACAACTTTGATCAACATGGTATGTCTCAGCAAAATTCAGTCTCAGATTCCCATAAACGTAAATTGTATATTTCTATAACAACTATCTGCATGTGAGGTCAGCTACATAAAATAGCTATTATAAAAAAGGAAAATTGCATAAATATTTTATTGAATCTACCTTTTAAGACAGTATGGCAGAGAACTGCGTTTACTGCACTTAAATCGCTTAATTAGTTAAAAAATAACATATTTGAAAAAAAAATATTAAATATTTTACGCTTTGCCGAATGGCAACACACTCACGCATGGAAGATGAAAATATTTTATTTCGGGTAGTGGCAACATATCTCTTTGTCCTTTAAATTTGAAGCATAAATATCTTAAACTTTGTCTAATGGCAACACATTGTTTTTAAACAGCTAATTTTTGTTAATCAAAATTGCAATAAGTTCTCTCAAGACATAAAATAATTTTAAAAAATTGAAAACCAGATTTACGCTTCAAAGTGCACATATCCAAGTGGAGGAATACGTTTATTCAAAATTTCATGGCTCTAGGTACCACCGTTTTTCCTTAGTTCGAGCAAAACACATACATATACACATACAAATTTTTCATTCTTTAATAAAAAAGATAAATGAAAAATTTTGAAAGATGTCGGACGCCTTTTCTTTAGAAGCAGAATTTTGCGCACGTTTTTATAATTAAATCATCTTAAAAGCAGACGAAAACGTAGAGCCCCTGTACAGTGAAATCAAATGGGAAAGAACAGAAAAAAATTATGATGTAAGAGCCCTTTGGAATTCTTGAAAAAAGCTCGAATTAAAAGCCAGCTATAACTGATAGATTTTGATGGACGTGAGAAATTTAAACGAAATCCAGTTCAGCAGGTGCAGAAGACTTTTGCATTATCTTAGCTGAAAGTAATCAATAGAATAGCTGCCTAAGACCTAAGCTTAGGAATTAAATATCACATCGTGTTGTTTGAAAAATTAATGAATATTTTTAAATACATTATAGCTTCTTGTGTGTTGTTATGATTAAACTAGAAAGCCCGGCGGTTATACGAAATGACCGCTGTTTTAGATATTATAAATTGTAACTAAAATGATTTGTGTAAAGGTGTCTGCTAATTTAAACTGAATTACCCAGGGCAGTCGGCGAAGACGCCCCTTTGCTTACTGCCCCACGGGGTTTCCCCCTTCTACTTACGTAATTGCTTAAAGTAGAGTGCAGTGAAGGAAACCACTAGGGATACATTTCTTAAGAGCCACCGCTATAGCTCAATCAATAAAGGTATTTTACATAATGAAATGTTAGTTCACCTGTCAAAGATCTCTTTGTACACAACATTTCTTGTATAGATCTTTCCATCACTTTTAAGCTCGCCTTGCAGAGGACCATCCATTATTTTTAATTTTACATCCGTTTTTTCCACGAACTCTTGACTCAACATAAAGTTGGCCGAGTCCAAATACAGGCTCAGGTAAAAAATATGCCAACACGCTTAAGCGTTTGGACCTGAGACTTATTGATGGTCATTGCAAAGGCAAGTTTTACAGGAAATTTTCTATGTCTTAATTGAAATAGGAAACCTGTGCCGTGGCAACTTCACCCCCATTGGCTAGTACAGTTACGAAAGCAACCAATAAACTATCGGCGACAAACAGACACTTAAGCCACATATATATAATGGAGTGAAGTCATCATCTCCTCCGAAACGGCTGGCTCCCGGGCTTAGCGAAGCACACTGTTGGATTCCGAAGGTCCGTGACATGCCATTTTGACCATTCGCGTCTTCTTGGGACTTTAATTAGCTGAGATATTAATTAAAAACTAATTTTCCCCTACGTTTTCCCTACATTTTCCACTTTCTTTCTTTGGGTTTTCCCTATTAGAGGGATTTGACTACGGGCCAAATTTTTTTTTCTTTCATTTTTCTTTCGCCGTTTCGAATATCTACGAAACGGCGCCGAATTGAAACTCCAGACGCGTATCCTCGGTTTCCCAAAAATTCTCCGAATCCATCGATATCGTTCTTATCTTCGTACAACTTTAACCGGCCGAAATATTAATTAAAAACTGCGGAAACGTTAATTTCCGCGCTCATTTTTTCAAGTGGCAACAACAAACTATCGGCGACACACATTTTAGCCGCTTATATATACATAAAGAAATATTACTTTTAAAAAAATTCGAAAATCTGAAAACTTTTAGGTTTTATATTACGCCCAAAGGAGCGATTTTTTTCAATTTATGCACACAAAC